CGCTCTTCCCCTCTCCTTGTAGGCATCGTCATCTGAAGACATGGGCAGATGGATTGGGATTTTGCTGGCTGAAACTGGGTCGTCCACAGACCCCGGAGCCCTGCACTATGACTACATTGACGTGGAAATGACTGCGAGTGTCATCCAGGCTGCAAAACAGACCTTCTGGTAAGACGTGTTCAACTAACCAGGCTGTTTTCAGTACTGTGGGAATTTCTGTCCTTTTGTTAACTCTCGTGCCAAGGCAGCTTATCAAAGTTCCCTCCTTTGCCAGAGAGTGAACTCCTGAAGTGTCTCAGCGGCTCAGATGTGTTTAAGATTATCTTGTTGGCATCCTGCTAAGTTCTGTAAAAAATGCAGATGATGATAGCCAACTTTTTTCAAATCTTTACTCTCTTTTTTCAGGAAGGCTACTTACTCAGTGCTGTATTTTACTCCCCTATTTTGCCTAAAGTCTTAGAACTGTCACTGGAAAAGGACAAATGTGCTGAAATTTAAGTAATTTCACGGCTACCTAGATTACGTTAGTTTACCCCCGGCTGTATTTGTATCTGAACAGAACCGCTGCAAATGTGTAGCGAATATAAGGCTTGGATAGCCACAGTCTCAGTGTTAGCTTCTGAAGTTCTTTTTTGATTAATTAAAAAATTAATCAAGTTCACACCAGTCCAATTTATGTTTGAATTTTGATTTTGGAGGTGGAATTTGAGAGGCACTATATAGGCCCAGCATGGACCAGTGCAGTGAATGCCTCATCACAGATCCTACGTCATGTAGTAAGAAAGCAATGCATGCTTAGCATCTACGCAGTGATTTAAGTGTTCAAATCAATTCATGCATTAAATCAGTATTTGGTGGGAAGAGACTATCGTTTTTCCTTGGCTACATTAGATTGTGTAGCAGTCTAGCGCGAATGAGTACTTGGGACATCTGGGATCCCCTGCTGCAGCCATACCAAGTGGTTTCACTTGTCAGGGTCAGAAGCAGGTTGCCTGACAAGACAGTTTTTGCTAAGGTGTCCTCCTGTGAGGTGGTAGGCTTGCTCCGCGCTCTCGGAAATGAGGCTCTCCACACACATTTATAATTCGACTGACTTAATAATACATCAGAGAATCACACCCTATCGGCTCATCGTAAATTTAAACGGACTGAAAGTACTGAAAAGGCAAAAGGCTGTGGAGTTTTCCAAAAGTTCCTGCATTAGCTAAGCGTTTAGAGAGCTTTAGCGTGGGAAAATGTGCAGCCTCATTCAGGATCTAGGTTGAATGACTTCTGATAGAAATCAAAGTGATTGGCTCAGTGTTATCACGATCCCAGTTTTGTGAAAGCCAAACAATTCTGAGAGAATAAAACTCATTTAGCTTATAGGCTTCTGTTAGTATTTGTTTTGAAGTCAATGGGACTCAAGAAGTGTTTCCTGTGTTGACATGTATCTGCTTCAGTCAGCATCTAGCACTAACCACATTTAAGAAAGAAATAGGATGGAAACCTTTTCCCCCTAATACTGCTCGGCTTTCCTTTTCTGAACAAATGTGATATCAATTGGAGCCAAGTGAAAAAGCATACACAACTAGACCACATATTAGGAAGGAATGTCAAACTTAACTTAACTTGCAAAATAGCAAAATTCCCCCATTAAGAAGTTGTTCACATTCATCGGGTGTCTTTAAAAAGACTGCAGTGGCTTGTCAAAAAGCAGCTAGAAAAGCTGTCTTCTGGTTTTTAGCTGCTTCTAGAAAATTAGGAGAAATGACAGTGATACTGAAGTGTTAATGAAATACTATTGACAGTCTTTCATAGAATGAATAGCTATATTTTAAATTGATTGCAGTAATCATTAAAGATTTGATTATCATTAAATCACATCAGGTTTAATGATTATTCTTTTGCTGAGAGTAATGCTGTGCCAAACGATTGGCTCTCCATTAATAAGATCTTCTTTACGTAAATCATTAGGTTTCTTGCAAAGACTGAAGAAAAATTGTTTCCAAACAGTTTTTTTTTTCTATTTGCTTTCCCATCTAGCAGGTTTAGAATAAAATTAGCTTACATGGATGCATCTGTAAACAGGGTTAATGAGGCTTAGTGAACTGTGGTTTAGTACTTGCAGATACATGATAAATGTTAGCTTCTTTTGGAGGTGGAAGTAGTTATTGCAGGTGCAAGAGATGTCATTAATCAGTATCTCAGTTTTCAGACACTTATCACGCATCACTCTCAATGACGCTATTAAATAGAAAATACATAATAGCAACTGCAAATGTAATCCTTCAGACTAACCAGAAAGACTTTAGTGCTCTTCATTAGGATGAGCAGCCCTTTAATAATGTATAACAGAAGATGAGATATGATGAAATTAAAAACATGTTTATCTATCCTAGGCTTTTTGTTGTTTGTTGGTTGGTCTGTTTTACGAGGATAAGAAATCCTTCTGCCTAGTCATTATTCCACTGCCTTAGTCCAGTGCCTCCATCTGGGAGGGGGCAGACGTAAAAGGCTCGCACCAACCCGGGCAGGTTCATCCCCCTGGTGAGCCCGCCTCTCCCACGGCTCAGGTGAACAATAGCTGGATGAGGCCTGTCTCCCTCTGCGCAAGAAATTCAATGAGCTCGATGTTATTCCAACACCGAAAGAAAGCTAATGTTGAAACCACAAAATTCTTGACTTCTGGCCAGCACTACAAACGACCCACTCTGCTTTAGGAGGGCTTTATCGTATTTTATGAATGTCAGCACAGAGCCTGAATAGTTCCATTGTTTGGGGGTGGAAGTCTTTGTTTTCCCATTCATGTCTACCTGCATCTGTAGGAATTATTTGGGATCTCACTGTGTACCTCCTTGCATTTCAGAGGCTGCTTGAAAGGAAAACTCGCCCTTAACGCAGTTATCGCTATTGGGCCAGATTCTGCAGTTGTTAGAGCTTTGCTCTCAACACAGAGCCTGTTGCAGTTGGTGACATTTTGCATGTGTTCTGCAGAATTCCAGTAAAACAGGCTACACTCCAGAATTTGGGAAGAGGAAAAAAAAGAAAGAAAAATGTATATCCTTCTGATGTTTTCAGAGGGCTCGGATCCGCTGTGCATAGCAACAAGGTGCATATAAAGTAATTGCAGAAAAGCAAGCCGGGAATCCAGTTTGCACCATTGTGTAAACTCTTCCCAGCCAAAAGTTCAGATATGGACATGAAAAACCCCCAGAATTTGGAGAATAAAATGTTCAGCAAATTTTGATTGAAAAGTTGACTGAATTTCATCTAAGTTCCACTTTCCTCAAATTTTTGCAGTATTTGATTATTGTTTCTCCAGATTCCGAAGTGCACGTCCCCCCTGCACATGCATGCACTGAGAAACACCTGCTTGTCCCCGATACAGACAACAAGGAAACTTTTATGGGACACTGGCAGGCTGGCTTATAACTTGGATTAGCAGGTTCCCCTGTAAACATGCCACTGAGTAGTTACAGCTGTTGCCATCCTGGCTTTCTCGCAGTCTTATCCCCGCTGTAAGAATACAGTACAGAAACATACGTTGTGATAGCATATGGTGCTGCTAGCAGCAACATGTGAGTAGCAAAGGAAGGAAGGAAAACTGTCCTCAGCTTTCCTGCAGAAAGTGAGAAAATCTGTGCTTCCAGGCTATATAATCAGATACAGGGAACATACCATTGAATCATCATTTAGATTTAGGTTCAAGTGCTGGTTTTTATTATTTTTTATTTTGCTTTATTCAGTTTTATGAACAGGCGAGTTATATCTACAAATCCGTATCGGGGAAGCACTGCCAACGGCTACGCATGTCCAAGTGGAATGGCACTTCATTACGATGATGTTCCCTGCATAAATGGATCGGTAAGAATTTAATTTGCATGGGACAAATGGTTTGCATGTGTTGACTGCATGGACATCTGAAAATTATATTATCTAAAAAGCACCACTGGGCAGTTTCCAAATGAACTCTTTATTTTTTTGATTGGGAACTGCAAACTTCTCTCACACCTACAGAGTATTAGGGGTGGGGGACATATTGTGTACATTAACCTGCACACGAGCCAACATGTATTTAGAAAGCAGTTGCCGGCTGATGATTCATTGCCAACTCCTTGAGTATAGTACTGACTTAAGGGGGTATTTTTTTAGATCATACCAGACCTGGCAAAGTTAACGACTCAGTTACCGCCAGACACTTGTTGATGTTCATTGCAAGAAAGGCTTTCTGTCCCAGGGCTGTATGACTTTCGACACCACGTACCGCTTTTCCCAGAGGACCTCAGGGGTCATTTCCGTCTTCATCATTTGCAGAGCTGATCTTAGGCAGATGTGTAATAAGGTTTAACACATAATTGATATTAACCCATAGTAGCATGTGGTCCCTAAGAGGATTTAGAGGGCTGCTGCAGCTCGTGTCACCTCTCAGTTTGGGCTGCTTCCTAAAGGCCTTCGCAAAGGCTGAACTCTCAGAGAATTCACAGAAATTCAAAATTATTAAGCAACCTGCAAGTACAATCTTCAGTCATGTCATAATAATGTCAGAAAGATGGTAGAGAAGCCTCTCTGGGGAACAACACACAACAGCATGTGTGGTGAGCAGTCCGGATCTGCAGTACTTGGATGTGCTTAAGCCTTCATATGAGAAGTATGTTGCCACGGCCAGGATGGATTAAGGAAGGATATTTGGCAGCCAGACTCATGGTTTCTTTTAAGATTAATTGAATGAATCACTGGGGTATTGTTGTTGAGCTTTCCATTTTTCTGAAAAAAAAGGAGGAAATGGCCTGTAGCTATTTTAGATAGTTAGCTCAGAATAATAATTTTCCAGCAAATAAAATAGAATACTGGCATACCAGCAGCTGGTATACACTGGAAAGACATATAGCCTGAAGAAAAAAAAAACCCAAACAAGGAAAAACCCTCTTGGCTTCTGCTGTTAGGCCATATTGCTTTTAACAAATCACGTACCAGATGTAATCTTACAGGTTCATCTGCATAGCCCATGTGAATCCCGTTGCCAGCTTATTCTGCTTAAAGAAGGAAAGAGTATGTGCCCCTTCAGTGTTAGAGTGAGCGATTAAAAATACAGTCTATGAAATAGTAAGGGTGGTAGGATAGTACTGCCTTGCTCGTGCAACAGAAGATGCAAAGGACTGAGGTTATGAGACATGTAACAGAGCGCTTCCTTTCCACACTGTGTCCCCCTCGCACTTTTCCAGGTAGTTTGGCTCCAGTTTAAGTGATAAGGCTATGCTTGCTAAACATAAAGGGCTTTCTGTGGTCAAAGAACTTACTAATGTTTAATTTCACTGAGGTGCTGCATGGTGCATTGTTTACTAACTGCAAAAGTATGTGTGTTGCAGTGGGAACCAGAAGATGGCTTTCCTACTTCTCGTAGCAGGAACATTGGAGAAGAAATGCTTTATGATAACGCAGGCCTGTACGATAACTTGCCGTCTCCAAAAATCTTTGCGCGCTATCCATCAGCTGACAGGAAAACCAATAGGTTATCTGCTGACAAACTATCCTCTAACCATTACAAACATCCTGTCTCCTCCAATCTGTCTTCTGCTCAGTCTGTCACTAATACCTCTGCTGTGGGGAAGGGATCTGCCTCGCAGGTACTGTACTACTTAATACTCTAAGAAAGCTTTTTATTTTTGGCTGTTCTGCTTGTTCATTCTTATTTTAAGGACCTTGGACTATTCCAGTCAGTTAGTCTTATCACTGACGTGCTTGGAGTTTGGTCATGAGCCACTGCAAGTTAAACAGTTTTGCTAAGCTGTAAATTCTGATGTGGAAGTATTGTCTCCTCGTGGTACCTGTAAAGGCCTTCCCCACAGATTCATGATGATTTACGTAGTGTAGAAAATAACAAAAGAACACATGTGACTTTCCAAACGTAACTTCAATGCGTATCTAGTTTTCTGCTTTCTCCTTAGGCATGATGATGGCTCAAAAAAACAAAAACCCAGCATCTCTAGACTGACTAATCTGTATATTATCTATGCTATAGCTATATATATATATATATGTATGTATGTATGTATGTATAGATATAGTGTGTTGTATTATATACTATATACTGCGTATGTACCATATTTAAATAACTGCCTACTATTTTCTTCCCCTGAAAAAAAATCTAAGCTTGTGCCTGTGCTGTTTTCTGAGGGCGGCCTCGGGCTTGTGGGCCTGAGACGAAGTGGAGGTGCAGAGAGCACACGAAGTCCTGTGTGCTCAGATTTAGTGGGCAGCCAGGCCCCGGGGGCAGGCCCACCCCAGCAGGGAGAAGAGAGAGCGTCTCCAGAGGCTGTGGCCATGCCCGGAAAGCTGAGGGATGGCAAAAGCACTGCGGGAACCTGAATGTGTCGCAAGGACATGAGAGTTTCAATCTAATCTCCAACAGAGCAGTTAGCTACCAATTTCACCTCTATGATGTACCTGTCATATTATGTGTTAACTTAATCCCTACAAAAAAACCTTTGTATCAGAATACTAGAATTAGAAGTAGCAGAATCAGGAGAGACCTGAGCAATGTATCTTCTGGCTTCCTCGTCTGCCTCAGCAGACAACCCATTGCACCATTGGTTCCTTCTGTATTGTTGCGACGTTTCAAAAGCTTTTAGAAGCAGGTGACCGGAGTGTGCCACATGTATGCCCCCTGCTTGGCTAATGGAAACTTTCCATTGCAGATGGAAACTCTTAGGATTAGTCAGGTCACTGTTTCTCTGCCCTGGGTTCGGTTCATAGCAGTGGTGCATACACTGGTGCTAACTGCGTACGAAATGTACTGGTTTTGGTAATCTTGTGAGCTTGCCTGTCCAATGTGAGAGTATGCCCTTTTTTAAGAAAAAAATATATCTATTAACTAAAAGTTTATGTAAAAGAAAATTGGTATATTAGTGCTTAATATTTAAAAAATGTGTAATAATCGTATTATTTTGAACAAACATCCATGTACCACAGTAATGTAAAGGTCATATAGCAAATAGGAAAAGGTTCCTGGTAGTTAACATTTTCGGAGCCCGCTGAAAAGTGGTGGCAGTTCTCAGTGACAGATCTCTAGAGGAAGCGCTGTCTCCAGTTGAATTGATTAAGTCTATTAAAAGGATCCTCTAAGCAGGCAGCTTTATGTCCTGCTGTCAAGCTTTGCCCTTGATGAAAGGGTGACTGTAATGCCAGTGGTACAGTAATAGCCACATCCTATTTGTACTTTGTTTTCAAACAGTTTAAAGGCAAGAAGCCTCCTGCAGCTGCTAATGGGATCACAGGAAAAGGGAGAACTTTAAGTAGCCAGCCGAAGAAATCTGAATCAGTGTCGTGTGTGAAGCGCACAGCATCCAGTAAGTATATCTCCTCGCAGCTGCCGTTTGAGAAAGCAATCATGAGGATACCCAAAATAGCTTTATTCCTAGCAAACAAGGGAAAGACCATTCTGTCTCTTCTGTGGCTGAGAGGTTGGGCTGGAGGTGCCACCCGCACTTGGGGTAGGAGATCCCATGTGAATTGGTGACTATGACTCTAGATATTCCCTAGGGTAAAAGGATGTCATATTCAGGACAATAAATATGAAATGTGGCTGGAAAAAAAAAATCATGAGCAAGGCAGGAAAGAATCCAGTAGTCATTCTTCCTTTCGAGGCAAATAGTAGTAATACTGTATTCCTGTTGCGACAGAGGGATGAGAAGCCGGGAAAGACACTTGAAGGACTTTGTTGCTCATAAGTGGAATTATTCTTATCCCTAATGAAAAATAAAAAGACAAAACAAAATAATGAAGTCTACATAGCTCAAAAGCTTCCTGAAAGAGATGAGATTGCAGCTGGTGAGGGGCAAATAGAGAAAGAGGATTCTCCTTAACAGGCAGATTGCCTGTAGGTAATTTGAGCGCTTCCTTTCTGAGATAAATGTTCACTAAAGGACCTATATATTAAGCAAGGAGGATTTGGGGAGAGACTTGCCTGATTTCCAGTCCTAGCAAAAGAACTGTTGGTAATTAAAAACAAGCCTAACAGGGATTCTTTTGTTTAAAGAAGATAAGATGGAAAAGCGTTGTAATTGTACTCTTAAAACATGGCAAAGACTTCTGCTAGAGAAAGAATGAACGGGTTTTTGAGCCCAAATTAGATTTTTAAGAAGTCATGGATTTAATGGGAACAAGAGAGATTTGAGTTGCACATTAGGACAAAAAAAAAACATTTTTATGATTATACAGGTGGATTGGCACTGGAATAGGTATAGTTGTGGTGGGTAAAGGAGTCTCTCTTACTGAAGACTGACCAGAACAGGTTTGACAACTATTTGTCAGAAATGATTTACGTACAGTTGACTCCATCTTCAGACATGTGGCCAAAGTGATCCGTTAGATGACCTATTTTCTTTGAGTCTGTGACTGGAACACATATAGAGAAGTGGCGGTGGTATAAATTGGAACACAGATATGAATCGTGAGCCATGAAAGCATTTATGTGGGAAATTAAAAAAAAAAATCTTAAGTATCAAAAAAGAAGTGAGCATATCGTGTTCCCTTACATCGAGTGAGAAAGATGTATGCTTAAAGTATTCCAGCCATCTCTTGAAGTAGAAACGGAAACTAGGCAAAAAGGGCAAACAGGTAGTTTTTCCTCTGACCTCTTCCAATTAAAAATCAAGGGTTCAGAGATAAAGAGGAGCCTGGTTTCCAGTCTCTGAACTACAGAGAATGCCAAGGCCCTTTTGAAACCAAAGTGCTGTAAGGAAACTGGTATTTCTCATCTTTTCCCCATATAAATCCGGAGAAAAAAAACTCTCTCTTGCATCCTTAGTAGCCGTGCTTCAGAACCCAGCGGGAGTCACGAAACTCGAGGAAGAGCCAGTGGGACACAAACATTAAACCGGTTTCTCAAAACACGAAATAGCTTATGTGACCTTGTGTTTCGGGGAATAGGTTGGGGTTTTACTGGTAGTGTAACCAAGGCACCGAGGCCAAGAGCTGCCGAAACAGCTGAGGAAGGCCGTGGATGTGTGCGAATATGCCTACACATGTGCACGCGCGTGTGCACACGCACACGCACGCGTATACACACACACACACAGAGCAAAAGCCTGATTGAGCCCAAGTTAAGTTGAGAATAAGTTCAGCATTTGTGTATCTGTGATTTTTCTTTCTCCCGTCTTAAACTCTGGTAAGTTCCTTTGAAAGCGAGCGGGCCGGCAACAACCGGGTCAAAGAGGTAACGGCAGTCTAATACGTGCAGATGCCGAGCAGTACAAATACGGCAAGAACCGCGTGGAGGCAGACGCAAAGCGGCTACAGAGCAAAGAGGAGGAGTTGTTAAAGAGGAAAGAAGCGCTCCGGAATAGGTTGGCCCAGCTCCGAAAAGAGAGGAAGGATCTCCGAGCGGCCATTGAAGTCAATGCTGGTATGGGGGGGCTCTTTGTGCTGACTTCTGCACTTGGTAGACTTACTGACCCAGATGGATTTACCTTCCAGGCTGAAGATGAATCAATACATGAGGTTTGGTTTTGATGTTAAATTGTACTCTGTAATGGCTATATGTATATTTTTTACATATACATATGTGTACATATATATGTACACACACACAGAGGTTAACTAGATGCATTTGTGCTACGTAGCAATGACAGCGGCAGGGACTGAAGCCGCTCATTCGCAAGCAGACTGTGGCAATAATTGCATTGTGACTGGCTAATTATACTTCTGTGACACGAAGAAACAACGGAGCAACTACTCGTTTGAAACTAGAGAGAGAAGTAGGAAAGGCACCTCAAAGACAGTGTTTGTTTTTTTCTGCTAAACGTTTTCCCTGAAATAAGTAGTTTTTGCAAAGTATGTAATTTTTTTTGTGAGGTCGGTGATTTTTAGAGACCTCGTACCTTTTTTTTTTTTAACAGAAGATAGGCTTTCTAAGTGTTAGTTTAAGCTTCTTGTTGAAATAATAACACTGTTCTGGGTGACAGGCAGGAAGACTCAAGTGATTCTCGAAGATAAGTTGAAGAAGTTGGAGGAGGAATGTAAGCAGAAGGAGGCCGAGCGCGTAAACCTGGAGCTGGAGCTGACAGAGGTGAAGGAGAGCCTGAAGAAAGCCTTGGCGGGCGGCATCACGCTGGGCTTGGCTATTGAGCCCAAATCAGGAACATCAAGCCCACAGGTATACGCAGCCGTTAAACACTCAGCTCCTAACAGCGTGGGCTGGGAGCGCTCTGTGTCCGAGAAAATGAGTGGGGATTGAGAGTTTTCAGGGGGTTTATTAAGCCCAAGAAATAAGAACAGAACTAAATTCCTTTCTGCGTTATTTGCATTCTTCACCTGCATCTGGGGTACTTTCTACAGCAACGGGAATTAGGTAGACAGGGGAATCACAGGCAGTATGTATATAATTATTATTTGTATTATGATATTATAGCAGAGTCAATGAGCGAAGCGTTGATCCCTCCATGTGACCCACTGTTGTTTAGTCACGGAGAATGAGCATTAATTGTCATCACAGAACCCATGCTTTGTTTTGTTTTCTTTTGTTTTCTTTTGTTTTAACCTCTTTTTCATTTTTTCCATCTTTAATTTGAGCGTATTCTTTAAAAAAAAAGCTTGATATTTCTAAGTCTAGATCAATATTGCCTATGTGACTATCTGAAGGAAACTCATTGTGGACTCTCTGTTAGTCTCCAATTTTCAAGCACCGAACTTTGGAAAACTCGCCCATCTCCAGCTGTGACACTAGTGATACTGAATGCTCAATACCTGTGAACAGCGCAGCAGCTCTGAAGCGACCTCCCTCGTCAAATAACTCTCCATGTCGAGGCCATGTACTTCGAAAAGCAAAGGTGAGAAGCCTTACACCTAGTTTCCTTTTTGTGTCCTTTTTAAAAAATCTTTTTGTTTGTGGAGGGGGAGAGAGAGAGAGAGAGAGAATATGCTGCTCCTTAATTTTTGTGGGTAAAATTTAGCTTCAAGAAGAGACGGTGCCATGTCTAAATTATTTACATAACTATATAAATGCTGCATGTTCACTCTCCAGTCAGGAGTGAATTTTGGGAACCATTTGCAGAAATTACTTTGGGAGACAGATTTGACTGTATTATTTCTCTCTCTCTCCCCCTGTTTTTCTCTCTGTTCCTTTATAGATTTCATTTGCAAGGTAAGTGGTCTGTGCTGTAGTCAATCCATTTAAAATTCAGAAAGGTACACTAATTTTTGTAGCTGATAAGTGATTAAGAGCATTGTTATTGTAAGTTTTCTGAAACAAGATAATATTGTATCTAATCAGCTGATGCAAGAACAGAATAGTTCCAAGCTACAGTAATTGAAAATTTATTGTGCAAGTATCTACCCTCAATTGCACAATTTATTGTGCAATATCTACCCACATTTAAAGTAGAAATTGAATGAATTGAATTAATATGATTTAGTCTGACAAGTACCAGGCTGAAGTTTGTGTTCCTGTAGAACTTTACAGTTTCTTTAATGGCTGTGCTTTCCATTAAATGAGATTTGCATGACAGTTCTTGAAGGCTAAATCGGCTAGCAACGTAAAAATATTCCTGACTAGCATGTAGGTGGCATGTAAGCAAGGGCAACGGGAACAGCACTGGCCCAAGCTTTTGTTGCTTTAATTTTTCACTACTAATTGTAATTATAAACAATAATAGTCACAGACATCTGCCTTCCATAATGCACTGCATTGTTTTGTTCAAAAGAATGTCATTTTCTGTAAGGTAGGGATCTTTTTAAAGTAACTTTTATTAAGAGCAGCTACATTGTTTTCATTGATTATATACATTTAAGTGATCAAGCGTGATAGTGCCTAAATCTTCTAGATACTAAAAAAACATCAGGTCAAGAAATGATTTGCTTTTATGGCACGTCCTCATCTCTTCCTGGCTATCCCCCCGCCCCAGCTAACCTCGCTGCGTTCCCCAGGCCAGGAGCGGCTTCCCTTGCCGTATCGTCCGTGGGACCCTTACAGCCTTCTGCAGCCACCCAGCCCTCCTGCTCTTCCATGGGCGTCAGTGGCCTTTCCTCTTCCGTCGGCCTGAGTCATTTTCACTCAACTCAAGACTAACTAAACTTGGAATAATTGGTTTCAGCTCTGTTTAACTTTGACGCTTGCTGCTTCTGCTTCAGACCTGAAGAAGGTTTTTTTTGTACTCTAAAACTTATCTATGGATTCCAGTTGTCTCATAATCTGTCGCATAAAAGCTATCACCTCTAACTACACACTTTGTCTTAGCTTTGCGTGTTAGCGCAGCATTACCAAGGGAACGCGGTCTAGCGGCTGGAGCGCAGCCCTTGCAAAAGGGAGCGTGGCTTGGGTTCAGGCTTGCTACACACCAGACAGGCATGTTAAAGCCAGCCGTTTAATCTTCACAGGGCTTAAAGGGAAACCTGGAAATTTTTGGTGTAAAGAATACCTTACAGCTGTAGCTCGTTTCTGTGCTCAGCATATACCATACGGGAAAAAGGCTGCTGCGTTGCTTGACTTTGCTGCTTGTGCTTTGGAGGGCACAACAGGTTGGTCGGGCTCTTTCATAGAGGAATCTTGGACATCAGATGAGGCTAAGCAGGAAGGATACGGAGCTACTAGGCACAGTTCTCATCATGGGAAAAAAATAACTCAAAGTATCCAATTCAGCCTTAACAGCTTTTCCCTAAAACTTCACGCACTAAATGTTAACAGTGAAATTATGCAGAATTAGCTAGTGCAACCCAAGCTGTACTGAGCCCATTCGCGCTGTGCTGCGGCCAAGGCCTGCCATCAGGTAGGCATCCGCAGCGCGCCCCGCTTGCCCCGCGGGAGCTAACGTATGTCGGCGAGGGTGGGGTTTGGCGCTCATTTTTTTTTTCACCTGATGCAGTTCTGAGTGAGCCCAGGCCTCCTGGATGCGATGAGCAAAGGGAGTCACACGTGAGTATCCCGAGAGCAGAGCTTGGCGCTGTGTGCGTGAAAGCGCAGTGTGTGGGACGGAGGCTGAGTTCATGTCCACGCTCACGCTTGTGTCTTCAGCACCTGGCAAATCTCCAAAGAGCTGTATGACCCTGCAAAGTGCTGCTAGGGCAGCGGCTGCTTTAAAACGTATATAGTGAGCAGCCGCGTTAGTTAGCGATGTGCAGGGTCTGCCTCCAGGAGAATGGCAACGAGCCCGACCGGGGCAGCTCGCGCGAAAGGCAGAGTCTGAAAGTGCTGCTGCACCAGAAAGCTTGCGCTGCTCGTGCATCAGCGTGAGAGGGAACCACGGAGAGACGTGGGAACACAGCTGGAGCAGAGTAACATGGATTAAACGCTGCTTTGAATCTTACCAGCCAGCTGCACCTTTTTAAATAAATTCTCAGGGTTTGATAACAATTAAAAAAAAAAAAAAAAGAGGCCAGATTTGGTCTTAAATCCAAGTTATCAGCAGTTTGGGGGGAGGGGGGGTGAGAGTATTTCACATACATTTATTTGGATTTTTAACTTTTCTGTTTTTAACTTAAATATTTTTAATTTGTTTTAGAAAGTAATATTGCAAGTTTTTAAGTAGCCAGAAATAACTTTTAATTGTGATTTTGTTCATTGGCTGGAATTTGGAACAGGACAAGAGGCAACGGGCACAAACTGAAACGCAGGCAGTTCCATCTGAACTTCTTTCCTGTGAGGGTGACAGAGCACTGGCACAGGTTGCCCAGAGAGGCTGTGGAGTCTCCTTCCCTGGAGATCTTCAAAACCTGCCTGGACTTGATCCTGTGCAATGCGCTCTAGAGGAGCCTGCCTGAGCAGGGAGGTTGGACTAGATGATCTCAGGAGGTCCCTTCCAACCTCAGCCATTCTGTGAATCTTTATTAAAATATGCAAAACAACATTTTGCATTGGGATTGCTAGTTAAGTGAAATACTTTAAATACTCTTGCTATAGAAGAAAAACAATTATTTAAACGTGCTTCATATCTAAAAATCAATTCCTAAAAGCAAATTGTTATGGACTGATCAGTGTCTTTCCTGCACTGATTATTTCTTTCAAAACTGGAAGGCTGGTGAATGTCAGCAGCTCCCGTTTTGCTTATGCTCAGGGTCTGGAGAAGAAAACAAGCTCTTCCAGTTTTCCAGCTCCCAGTCACATTGTCAGTGTTGACTTAAACATTCCTTCACCGGCTTGAACTAGCTGGAGAAATGGAAACAAAGAAAACGTTTCTCCTGCACCTGGGAAAAAAGCTACTGCTTTCAAGGCTTACTTAACACTTTCAGAAACTATGTTCCCGGTTGGTTAGCCAAAGACTTCCTTTAGAGCTGTGGCAGCTTCTATATGGGGAATATAGATTTAATACTCTTTTTAAAGTAATCTATCCAATAATCACCCATATAGTGTTTAAAATTTAGGTTTGCCGTAATTTGAGATGTAAAACTGAATATTAAAACTGCAGTATAGTCTTACTTTTAATTTTTCATTAAACTTTAAATACCATTTAAATTAAAAAATTAGATTGAAAAAAATTAAACCATTATCTACATGCTTTAAAGCCAGAATTTTTTCCTCTAGCCCTAAAGCCACCAACTGTGACCTTTACCATGGTTGAAAAACAGTCATGGTCATGCAGCTGTTTAGCCAAACTAATGCCATTATGGCTTTCGGCAGCAGAAACAGATAGTTGCTTGTTTAACTAACAGTTTTCAGCTAGAGCTCTTAAATATTGTGGAATGAGTGCTAAATTCAGGAATTCGGATCAGGAGCCAAGACGCAGGCTGCCTGCAGAGCATCTCTGCACAGCGATGGGTGGGAGAGGAATTTGGAGGACCCCTCCCCCCCCCCCCCACCCC